TTTCGGCATTATCTTTCGGCATAGTAATTCTTTTCCAATATTTAACTATGGCCTTGTTTTGAATAATGTTCTTAAGTAATACAGTAAGCATAGTTTTAATACGTATACAATATTGGGCAGACGACAAAAAATAACAGGAAATCTGAGTTAATGTCACATGAGTGAAATTATTAACTCTGAAGAAAAAAAATTTCCTGTTATTTGTCGTAATATTGACAGTTAATATGACCATGTGAAGTTTTTTCTGTGATATTTTGCAAAACTGATTACGTAATTTCATGCAAAAAATATCGCAAAAGAATTTACATGATCAAATGAAATGTCAAATAAAGATAGTTATTGATTATTTTCATAGGAAATCTGAATAAAACAGAGTTAGAACAATTCACTAATATATAATGCTGAAAAATTGAGAATTTGTTTGTAAATTACATAGCAATTTTCAAATGTGATTTTCTCAAAATCAGATGATCATCCCACTGCCTTGTTTTGCTGTGGCCGATCCCATATCTAAAGTGGCGCCTGGCCAAAATTATGACTTAATGCATGCATGATATAACTTCAGGGTCTTAATTTTAGTCAGGTGCTACTTTAGATATCAACACGTTAGGGTTGCGCCTCGATTAATAAATCAAAACATATGAAGATCATTAATTTCAGATTTTTTATTGGCCTATATTTAAATATCAAACTAAATTTACATTTTTTGACACAAGTATCTAACGAAAGTGCATATAATTTTTTTTTAATTTGAAGCTCTCGACAAGCTCTACATGGTAATAAAGCTATTTTTTAAATAATTTTGTAAAAAAAAAATTTAACCATTAATTAAATAATTATTAATCAATATTTTTATAATAATTGAATGATTTTGATAAATTGTTTAAAAAAGTAGCTCTATTACCACGTAGAGCTAGTTGAGAGCTTCAAATTAAAAAAAATTTATGCTCTTTTGTTAGGTACTTGTGCTAAAAAATATAAATTTAGTTTTATAATTATTTTTATAATATCTAGTATAAATCGTCGAAAAAATTGATTAACGATAATATTGAAATTTAACCATTAATAAATCCGAAATTAATGATCTTCATATGCTACCCTGACTATGTTTGATTTTATTAGTTGAGGCGCAACCCTACCGACACGTACAGTTAGCGTTAGGGTGTTCAAAATACTAGTAAATCAAATCATCAGGTACATATTTACCAGTTTTTTTAAATAATTTCGGAAATTTCGAAAAATTTATTATTTCTTTATTGCATTGTTTTATAAATGCAAAAAAATTTTTTATAACAACTACTACTAAAGGTACACTTTTTGAGCGAAGAATATATTTTTTTTATGTCATATTTTTTTTTTAATCGATACCTTTTATTACTCTCTTTTCAACAATAATGTTGGTTTTTCAAATTTCAATAGCTTTATATTTGTCAAATTTAGGTAAAGTTCATTTACATTGTTAAAAAAATTTACTTTTATAAAATAGCAAAAATGGCTCTATTACACTAAAGTATACAATTTGCTCTATCTTTAAAAAAAAAATTGAACATTAATCATTATACAAGTTCAAGAGAAAAGCGTTGATATTATCCGCAGTAAATTCAGATTTTCATCATATACAACCCTAATTAATAATATTTGATTCAGTATCTTAACATCTTTACATCACAGATAATTGTAATATCTTTACGTATCAATCAATTTATTAATATTTTCTGCAGTATCGATCTTAAAATTGCTAGAAGCTCCTAGTTTTTCTTTGCATTTATTTTGCAATTGTTTGGCCCGTGCCTTGAGGTCATCATCACATTTACTTTCAGAAATTTTCTTGGCAAAGTCATGGGCACTGGTAAAATCACCTTTATTGAATAATTTCATTGCAAGCACAAATTGAGAAGAAAAATCCATTTTGGTAATCTGGTATGAAATTTTTTTTCGAATAATTATATTAAAGATTAGATCCGGATAACTTGCTTATGCAGATTGCTTAACCAGATTATATTTATTTTCAAACTGGATCAAATCTCTAGTTAGTATTTGTATTATTAATTTAATTGAGATAAATAATTGAAGAATTCAATTTGCAATAACGATACAATAAAACTATTAATATTTTTACTAATACTAAAATAATACAATAATCAGATTGTATTGACTTAAGTTTTAATAATTGAAAATTGAATAAAATATATTTATAAATATCATACTGATTGCCTTGTCTTTAAAATAATGGACTACGAATTTTTTCAAAAGTTTTGTGATTTAAAATTAAGTATGGGAAGTAATAACAATCAAGAGTCTTTACAGTTTGGCATCGAACAATTCATTATTGACTTTAAAACACCGCTTTATGCTGAAATATCTGAACAATGGGCCATTATTAATGGCATGGTCTACTTTTCTTTGAAAACTAGCAAGGGTGTAAAATGGTTTTTTTTAACAAGTTTATCAAATACTTACAATGAAAATTTGCCAAAAAGATGTAATATTTTGACCGAAACCAAGTA